TTCATGAATTGCACTCATCTATCTCTCTGTGAGTTCTTCTTCTGTGAATTCTACCAATTGTGTATCATAAATGTTTGTAAAAGACAGTTGCATCTGTGCTGAGTGGGTGCAGACTTTTTCTTGTTATGACTCTGTGTGGAACAGAGGGTGATAGTCACTTACACAATGTTTACATTGTATTAGGCATTATAAGTTATCCAGATATAGTTTAGAATGTACAAGGAGGTGTGCTTAGGTTGTGTTCGAATACTATCATTTTATATAAGGGACTTGAGCATCACATTTTATTATCTGCAGTGGCTCCCCAAATTGTCCCATTGCAGGCACTGAAGGGAAGCTGTACTTTCCTCCTATTTTTCTTTCTCGATGGCCTCTTGCTGATGAAAAATTTGTAAAAATGCACCATTTGCTGTGGTATAACTATTTCCTTTTCCAAACTTCTAAAATAGCCTTTATTTTTTATTCAGTATTATTAATCCTTTGAGAATTTCATATATGTACACAGTACGTTCTAATCCTATTCACCCTCACAACCCTCTTCCAACTCCTTTTGAAGCCCTCCACATCACATCCTTCTCCCAACATCTTTATGTCCTCTTTCTTCTCTTTCTCATTAAAAAAAAAATCCCTAGAGACTAAGTAGTATGATCTATGTGCACATGGATGTGAGGCCACCCACTAGGGCACAAGCAACCTACCAGGGACTAAATCTCCGCAGAAAACTGACTCCCTCTCCCTTGGAAGCCATCAATTTCTCATGAGCTCCTCCCATTCCATGCTGGATTGTTGACTGGCTTGATCTTGAGCAGTTCGTGTGCAGGCAACCACAGCTCCTGTGAGTTCATGAGTGTCTAGAAGACACTGCCAACACACCCTTTCTGTTCCCTTGTCTAGCACCTGCAGTGTTCGATGGCAGTGATCTCTTCATGACAATTTCTTCTTTTAGACTAGGAGCTTTTGGCGGCTGAAAATATGCCCTATTTGCCTTCATCTCCATAGACCACAGCTCAGAATTTCACCCCAGCAGATGCTCAGAGAATTTTGGTTGATATAGAAATTGTTATTAATAGTCATATTGCCTACTGTGACAAATGAGAAAGCTAGATATGTATGATGAAAAGAGTTGTCAAGTCAAGTCCTACTGGGCATACTAAAGGCCAATATTTCTGAATGATGGTAGATTTAAGAAATTCAACTAGAGTTTCCTAAAATATGAAGAATCTATTTAGGCTGTTATTTTGGTGTGGACATTGTCACTCTAACCCCATGGACACTCAAGTCAAATATTCCCTTGAAGCAAAGGAGAGTCACACACTGGTCTACACCCCTCATCAGCTTTGCGTGTGTACTGTGATTTTTCTAGGAAAAGGAAGGAAAAGCAGATTTACTGCAATGGTTAAAAACTGTCCTCTCTGGAATGTAACCAGACAGGAGGGTCAAAGGAGGTTTTATTCTCTGTTCACATGACACTGCTTTGCTTGTGTCTCCCTAAGAGACCAGCTCATTTGGTGTTTTGAGGTTCAGTCCTTATGAGGTTGCTGATTGTGACCGGGTTTGAGCTGCAATTCCACCAGAACAGCAAAATCTATGTGGTGTGGAAACACCCTCCAGTCACTGATTGAGTAGCCATGGACATTGGGTTTACATGGTTAGACCAGAATGGCAATATTTGGAAACTTTGGTCCAACCCCTCCCATGCATCAGCATTGTAGATGAACAGGTACTTCCCAAGCAAGGTGCTTCTGGGTACCAGGACTACAGTAGTCCTCCAATGTGTTCCTCCTCGTGAAGTGATTTGGGGAAGCAAAACTGCTCCATTATAGTCAGGGTCTGCCCAGCATGGACATCTCTCCTGGTCATGTGAGTGATACAGCATAACAGAATATAATCCACTTGTTATTCCTATGTCAAGGCTACACTCTCAATAGCAGCTGAATGACTGGTGTTTGTTGAGTTGCTTCCCATCATGAACTAAATATTAATTTTTGCCTTCATCATGTACTTATTGCTTAAGTAATAAGGAGATCATGATTGGGGAGGGTTGAGTAGCACATGTACACAGCACTATTCTAGTCTTGCAAAAATGTTTTTCAAACGATGATTGAAAACTTTTAAAGCCACGAAGAGAAGGAATTGAGAGTGGGCTGAAGAACCACAGAGCTTCAACTGGATAGTGGGTGCTGTTTTCCTTTAAAAATAAAAGTAACTGAGGGAAATGGGGTAAGGAGCACTTGGTATTCATTATTCTCCATATTTGTCAATATTTAAACATCTCCTTGAAGCATGCTGCCCATAGGATTAGAATGTTTTTAAGAAGTAGTATGGCCATTATCAATGGTACTTTCAACCTTAAAGAGAAGCTCATCTGTTCCTGTTGCTGGGACTCTCTTCCCTATAAAAGGCTGTGATCCAGAAAATGTGTAATTTACTGAAGCCTTTTGCCTCCTTATTTTGTACTAGGGAATCTCAACTTCTGAAAAACTGATTTTAAAAATTCAAGTAAGCTGAGCCTGGAGGTGTAGACCTGTCAATCCAGCACCCTAGAGGCTGAGGCAGGAGGACTGGAAATCCAAGGCTGGCCCATGCACTAGAGAAAATTCACATCCAACCTAAGCAGCTTAGTGAGCCTCTGTCTGGAAATTACAAATGTGCTGTCAGTGAAGCTCAGGGGTGAGTGCTTGCCTAGTGTGCAAAATCCTGGGGTTCAATCCCCAGTTACTTCGGGCCACCTTAAGTAAAAAAGCACGAAAAGATCTAGATTTCTGAGATGTAAATAACCAAAGGCACCCAAAGTCTTCTACATCCTGATTTATAGAACTTGCTCATAACTGACATTCTAAGATAAATGGGACATTGCAGATGAGATTTAACTAGGTTCTTGAGATGGGGAAATTACAATAATAATAATAATAATAATCAGATGGGCTTGGTGTAATCACAGGACCCTTATGAGAGGGAGTTAATCATTGTCACAATCGGGAACGTTAGAGGCAGAGTGATGTGGCCACAAGCCAAAGATTTTAAGCAGACTCTAGAAGGTAGAGCAGAAAAAAGGACAGATTCTCCTTGGAAGCTTCCAGAAGGAGCACAGCTCCATCAACATCTTGATATTATTTTTAGCCCAGTTAAAATTAATTTTGATTTGGACTTATAGAAATGAGATGATAAAATGGACTGTGAAGCTCTAATTTCTTACAGTAGAAATAGGAAACAAATACAGATAGCCTTATGCTTGAGAGTAGAGGGCTCAGAGCTTGACAAGAAGTGGACACTACCTCTCCCCCAAGACAGATGGGCTCACTAAGAACTCCCAGAAGTGAGGGTCAGGTCAACAACAGCACTGGCTTCCATCAGACTCCCTGGTTGAGCACTGGGGCACCACCATTTACTAGCTGTGAAATCTTGAGTCCACCTTTGTTCTCCCGTTTATGAAAGTGGGGGTGATAATAGAACTTGCCTCATAAACAGGTTATGAGGATTAGCTGACACAACCCATACAAAGTGTTTACTCAGTCCCTGGCTCCTAGGAAGGCTTCTCCAAACATGAACCAGGATTGAATAAACTCTCAGCAATGCAGAGGCTTTGCCGTGTTTGCGGCTGCTCAGTTTTATTAGCTTGTTCAAAAGGCCACCCTTTCTTTGGGAAACTGCATGAATTACACATTCTTCACCCATATAAATCTATAAGAAACACTTTCCTTGTTCTGGCGGTGGTAGTAACATTGTGTCTAAATGCAGAATCCTTGCAAAGGTGGGGTGTTTGTTTTGTTTTTTAATATAAAAACAAGATAAAAACATTTATGTGAGGAATGGGTATGTTTGTTGCAAGGGCACAGGCTTGTGACTACCTGCTGGCTCTGATCTCAGAGCATCTGGGCTTTGATTATTCAACTGTCCCATGCCGTAAGAGGACGCTTTCCTTACAAACAATTGTCTCGAGTTAAGGAAGACCACTGTACACTGTGGGCCATGCCACCATGCACACTGTGTTGGGGTGGCCCTGGAGTTGAATCAGATCCTCTGTGACTGAAAGTTGCTTTATGACTTGGCTCTCACTCAGTGGAAGCTCACTAGAGTCCCATTGTTCTGTTTTGCCCTTCAGTTCATTCTCATAATGAAGTCCTCTTGCACTATATCGGGACTGTACCTCTTCATAGAGGACTTGGTATATGCTGTCACCTGCGTCACATTACATTTCCATCTTTGGGTGGCATTTAAGTTGGTTGGGGGTGATATCCTGGGCTGATACGAACTTGTGTGCCCATGGGGCAGACAGCAGTCAAGAACACGGAGTGCTTTGCAGGTGATGGGCAGCCGAGGTATGAGGTGGGTGCCAGATGGAGTGAGGGAAGGATGTGAAAGTTGCGCTCCAGCGAGGCAAGTGCATGAGGAATGTGAGTGCCCCCCTTGCCAGTGTGTATCTGATCTGACCTTTTCCCAAGGTATGCCAAGATGCCGTGTCAAAACAGCTACCCTAGGAGGGATAGCGAAGGGCACAAAGTTGTGAGGAAAACACTAGAGGAAAGAAACAGAAACTTCCTGTACTTAGAAATTCTTGGAGCCTATTTTGAATTTCATAGAAGCAGACACCACAGACTAGTTGAAATGACATCCAGTTATATGGAGAGGGGTGCGGTGAGGAAGACGAGCAGGGGGGAAGCCGGGTGAAGCCTGAGAGAGAGTGTAGGATTTTACGTTGTAGTTCAAGGTTTTTATAGAACGTAGGAATAAAGTCAGAGAAGTGCTTTTATAGGATGAGAGTGGGTTTCAAATTACTTTGGACTTTTAAAATTTAGGATGCTCAAAGGAGGGTTGATGGTGATGGTGACCATGGATTGTCAGAGCATATGGATGTCAGGCGATGAACAGAACGTACAGGGATTATTTAGGGCTCCAGGCAAGCAGAAGGCAGAGTGATTGTTTCATGCTTAGGAGCTGACCCTGGTATTCTGACTGTGGCGGAGGCTGTGATCACATAGAAGCTGCATCTTTCCCTCTAGAATCACAGCATGTGCCATGACAATGAATAAGTATGTGGAAGAGAACGTGTCTCAGAAGTCCTACACGACCATCAAGTACTTCATGAAGATGCTGAGCAGCGTGAGCGAGACCTTGATCTTCATCTTCATGGGCGTGTCCACCGTTGGGAAGAACCACGAGTGGAACTGGGCATTCGTCTGCTTCACCCTGGCCTTCTGTCTGATCTGGCGAGCACTGGGTAGGGGACAGTCATTTGTTCAGTCAGTGACAATGACCCAATGGGACTTCTTTCTGCTGCAGCTGCCTGTTTGTCTGCTCTTCTTCTTCTTCCTCCTCCTCCTCTTCTTCTTCTTTTCTTCTTCTTCTTCTTCTTCTTCTTCTTCTTCTTCTTCTTCTTCTTCTTCTTCTTCTTCTTCCTCTTCTTCTTCTCCTTCTCCTTCTTCTTTTCTTCTTCTTCTTTTCCCCTTCTTCTTCTCCTCCTCTTCTTCTTCTTCCTCTTCCTCCTCCTCCTCTTCCTCTTTCTCTTCCCCCTCCTCTTCTTCTTCTTCTCCTCCTTCTCCTTCTTCTTCCCCTGTTCTCCTCTTTTCCCTTTCCTGTTCTTTTTCCACTGACTTCTCCTTTTCTTCCTAACCTTGTTCTTTTCCCCATCTGATTTTTCTCTCTCCCTATTTTCTTTGTGTTTCTATATTCTTTCTAAGCTTTTATTGTAGATAAAATTAGTCTCTCTTTACATCTCTAATTCTGATGGGTACAAGCATGGGTACAAGCATGAAACGATAGGACCAAGGACCCAAGAGTCCCCAGGATTCGCAGGATGGGGTGGGAGGTGGGGTACACACTTTGCACAGTCTCCGAGACTCAGGGGTTCAGAAGCCCAGGTCTGTCCCTATCTGTCCCTGTCTGCCCATATTCACACAGTCTGCTCCCTCTGGTTCTCTTTTTGTCCACAGGTGTCTTTGTCCTGACTCAAGTGATTAACTGGTTCCGGACCATTCCCCTGACCTTCAAGGACCAGTTCATCATTGCCTACGGAGGGCTCCGAGGTGCCATCTGTTTCGCCCTGGTCTTCCTCCTCCCTGCTAATGTGTTTCCCCGAAAGAAGCTGTTCATCACGGCCGCCATTGTCGTTATATTCTTCACTGTCTTCATCCTGGTGAGTGCAGCTATTTCTTCTAGAAAAGTCTCCCCCTTCCTCAGGAGGAAATAAGTACTTTCTGGTCACCCAAGTGAATGCTGGTGGTTTGAGGCAAAGTGGCATAGGTGTGTTGAAGCTTTGGGAGTCACCCGAACAAGGAACATGATATTTCCTGTCTGGGTTCATGTGTTGGATGGTACAGGACATTACAAGAGTCCAGTTTGGTCACTTGGCCCCCACAGAGGAAACAGGTATTTAAGGAAACTCAGCTCGGGGATTTGTGTTTACTCCTGGAAACTGACAAAGTGCATGCCCTAGCCCTAATCCTTGTCATTTGCCTTGCTCTCCGACCTGGTAAATGTACTTGCTAAGTGCTGGTTGTGAGCCATGACCTTCCAGCAGCTATTTGACAAGAGTTGGCTGCTGACAGGGCTTTGCCTGGAACAGGGAATAGTGAGCCCAGCAGATTGTGGGGAAGCAGTAAGCATGGTTCATCCGTCTTTATAACTTATAATTATATGCCAGCTCTCAGGAGATTATATTCTGTGCATATTCATTTAACAAATATGAGTTTGTTCTGTGACATGCACTGCTGTTAAGAATTTAGAATTCTCACCAGAGCAAAATATAAGAATATACCCCTGTCTCTGCAGAACTTCCGTTCTTGTCAGGGCTTAGGGGAGGGTGGTATAAGCTGGGAGAGAAACTTGATAAAATATGGAATATCCTTAAAGGGGGAAGATACTATACAATAAATAAGACAGAGATCAGGAATGAAGAGGGTGACATAGGCAGAGGGTAGTTTACAACTCTAAATTGATGGTCACAGAAGGGAAAAGTGGGGAATATGACATTTGAGCAAAGGCCAGTAAGAGGCGGAGGTCTTAGCCAAGGTGGAGGACATTCCAGGCACAAGTGCTGAGGGAGATCTTGTTTCCTGGATGTGGAATGTTCTTGGCCAGAGTATAGGGTGGGCTAGAGTAACAGAGGCTATGTTGGAGGCTTGTATTACGTAGGGCTGTGAAGAGCCATATAAGGAGCTTCACTTCTCCAAAGGAAGGAACACAAAGCAGAGGCCAAGGCAAGTTGAATACAGGCCCTGATGGTGGCCGGAAGAGAGGAAAGATCCTTTTGTACATTCTGACCATGGAGCCCACAGGATCTCTCCAGATGTGATGAATGTGGGGAAAGAGGAGGCTTCACTGACTCCCAGGGCTGACTGAGGGGAAGGATGGACTTGCCTTCAAGTAAGGAGAGATCTGTGAGACCAGAACTAGAGATTGGCAGTTCAATTACAGGCTTGTTGGGCTTGAGATGTCTGTGAGACTTACAAGTGCAGACACTGGCTGGGCAGGTATGAAGAGTTCAAGTTCAGTAAAGAGGCCGGTCCTCAGCTGATGGTATCTGAATCCACAGAATGGGATGGGATGTCGAGAGCGTGAATATGGACATTAAAGAAACAGAAAGGTACCAAGAGTGAGCCCTGAGGCAACCTGACCTTAAGTCTTGGGCAGGGAAGAAGACAGTCATGGAGACTAACATGTGATTTTCATTGTGTGTAACCATCTTCAAGGGCTTCCTAAATACCTTACCCACAGTGTCATCTCGAGTATTTGTTCCTTTAACTGTCAGAACTGTTCTCTGCAACATAACTTCAGGAGCTCATTGTTCCTGGTTTTTGGGTAGGGAAAGTAAGGCCTAGAAATTGAAGTTAAACAGTTTTGTGAAATTTATCAGTACCAGATGGGTCTTTACCATGAGCTGAGACTCTGCAAGAAAGCCAGGTGTGAAATAACACTCAGCATTGAATCCCATGTAGATTCTTCTAGTCAGTTCTCCACAAGACAGCTTTGCTTGTGCTAGGGCCAATGTGAAGACAGTGGGCTTTGTGGAATCCTGGCCATGGATGCTCAGGATGCTCATGGATCCTGTCAGTTTGAGAGATGGCACTTTCCCTTCCAACCTCTGTCATCCACACCTCCATAATGCTGCTTCCCTTCACAACTCAGGGTGGTGAGCATGTCAGGTGCCAGGTTAGAGATTTCCTATGTGTGTCATCTCATTTCATTCCCCAAACAAACCTCTGAGACAAAGACCGGCATCACCTCCCAGGAGCAAACTCATCCTCAAAGAAGCAAACGACCCCAGGGTGAAGTGCTGAGCCTGGGGCTGGAAGAAGCCATTCGCTATTTAGCACCCCTGGTTCACGGAAAGAAAGCAGTGTTTGCTAGGTTATGGATATATGTGAGTGATGGTGAGCCTATGTGCAGAGAAAGACAGTCTTAGGAGATTCCACTGCTGTGTTAGCATCACGGTGCACCTGCACAAACCCACTTACACACCCAAGCTTTGATATAGCCTATTTTAACGTGAAGTTTCTTTGAAGCATTGTTTTGTGATGGTAAGGCACCAGTACACACACTGGCTTAGACCTATGCAGAATCAAGACCGTCGGTATCCCTGTGTCTATTCCTTTCTATTTGTCTCACTGAGAGATCTTCAGGGACAAGAGCCTCCATGGAGCTGTCACCCTCATTGATAACAATGCTTTCTGGAGTCCTTTGGAGCACCTGCCTGAGGTTGAGTACAGGGATCTACTTTTATGGGTACAAGGAGTTTGTTCTCAAGTAACGGTGAAAGTATGGTACAGAATACAAGTGGATGAACAGTGTAGAGTAGTCATTGTTGCTGTCAAGTGTGAAGTGCGGTACATAGCTATACAGGGCACACATTTAGACAGCCGGCAATCCAGTAGCTCCATTTGCCCCGGTCTCACCACACACAGGTGAGTGAGGCTTTCTGTTCTGGAGTTACAAGGGCTATGGTATCACTGCTAGAGCGTCTCGCCTTCCTGTTGTACACAAGGCCTATTGTTGGTCACATGACACACGTGTGAGACTTTCATTTCAGTTACCGCTGTACTGCAGCACTAAGACTCCTATTGACTTGAATCCCCTCCTTGTTTTTAGAAGATGCCACATATCCTCTGTGTACTGAGGGGAGGAGCATTCCCCTGACTTCACCTTTTCTCTCCAGTGTTTATGGGACATTTGCAACAGGCCATTCAAGTTTCTCTGTAGTTGGTTTTATTTTACTCTTTGGGAGCCCACCCCACCCAGCCCCCAAATAAATACATGGAGACTTTTCCTTACGTATGAATGCCTGGCCTTAGCTTTGCTTGTTTCTAGCCAGCTTTTTTCTAACTTAAGTTATCCCATTTCCCTTTAATTACATTTTGTTTCTGGGCTTTTTACCTTTCTTTATTCTGTATATCTCTTCTTTCTTACTCTGAGGCTGGCTGTGTGGCTGTGGGGCTGACCTCTGGTGTCCTCCTCTCCTCCTGTTCTTACTTCTTCCTCTTCACTCTCTTCCCAGATTTCTCTTCCTATTTATTCTCTCTGCCTGGCAGCCCTGCCTATTCCTCTCTCCTGTTGAGCTATTGGCCGTTCAGCTCTTTATTAGACCAAGCGTGTGTTTTAGACAGGCAAAGTAATATAGCTTTACAGCGTTAAACAAATGCAACATAAAAGAATGCAACACATCTTTGTATCATTAAATAAACATTCCACAGCATAAAAAAAATGTAACATGTCTTAAACTAATATTCCACAACATTGGGATAAAATGTGACACAAAGTAATTTTATCTCTTGGATTTTCACCTCCCACAGTTGCCTAGGGTAGAATATACGTGGATACAGACCAGAAGGGGCCAGCCATTTTTCTCTTCTTTCAAGACCCACTGAATACCTTGCCATCACCTAAGGCCCTCCTAGCTGCACAGTGTGTTAGTACAAAGGGGCTGCTCCTTCCAGAACAGATGCTGTCATCCCACAGTACCAGGCACAAAAATAGAATTGTATAACCTTAGTGGGATGAGGAGCTAGGTCACTGGGAGAGGACCACAGTCCCCAGCACAAGTACTCAAGTGCCTAGAATACAAAGCCAGTCCTCTGCCTCAGACACCACAGGCTTGGTGCAATTATAGAATACAACTGGTGTGACTTCATAGAAATATGCTAATTAAAGATAGGACACATCATATAATTTTAATAGTTTTTACTCATTAGTCTTATCAAACATAAAAATACAAATCTAGCCAGGCAGTGGTGGCACACACCTTTAATCTCAGCACTCGGGAGGCAGAGGCAGATGGATTTCTGTGAGTTTGAGGCCAGCCTGGGCTACAGAGTGAGTTCCAGGAAAGGCACAAAGTTACACAGAAAAACCCGGTCTCGAAAAACCAAAAAAAAAAAAATCTGTAGTCAGAACATTCCGTATAAAAAAAAAAGTATTAAAAATAAATGCCATCAGTCATGGAATGTATGTATAGATGATTTCTGTTAACACATTAATACCGAGTTATCAATAATTTTGGCCTATTTGAAGTTGAGACTAAATCAAGAAATAAATGTAAATTATCAATTACCTACATTATATGCCTTTGCATGCACTTTGTTTTGTTTTGTTTTTTGAGACAAGGTCTCACTGTGTAGTATCGGCTGGCCTAGAACTCAGTTTGTAGACAAGGTAAACCTCATATTCACAGAGCTCTGTCTGCCTCTGCCTCCTAAGTGGTGGGATCAAAGACATGTACAATGTGTATGAATATTTGATATTTAATATTATGGACAACTTGTTCTTTTGATTTGTAACAAATCAGAAGTGGGAATCTAAATTTATCTCTTTGCTGACTTGTAGCAACAGTCCCAGGCAACAAGCTATGCTGAACAGCACCACTCTAGACTTTCATATCCTATGCCTTAGGCTATTATCAATGACACTACAGTAAACTTGTAGAACTTAAGACACCTTGGATAGACAATATTGGCCAAAAAAAATCTACAGTTAGCAAAGTCTTTTGTGGACGTGACGATGAATCTAAGGTATGAAAGACGGTTGGTGAATCCAAGGTATGAAGGATGTGAAACCAGCTAGCGTCTGGGCAAATAACATTCAAGGTAGAAGAAAGAGGTGGCACAAAATCCTGAAACAGAAAATGCTCAGAACAGGAATGAT